GCTTCAGTGTGGAGATACTACATATCATTACGTTGAATATCTAGTGGCATATCCTTTAAAAGGTTGCCCAAGAAATTATTTAAAAACTGTAAATAAGCGGCGACAGTTAATCAGGGCTGTAAAATGTATGGACCTATTAGGTGCTTTTCAACCATTCCTGTCCAAACATATGGACACTGAAGCGTTCCTGAAAGCGCTTTTCTTGAATTACGTGGGGATTCTTGTCTGATTAAACGAAAGTATTGTGGGAATTAAAAATGCCATCTCTGGTAAATGTTGTCTCATTTGTTTAAAATAATTTTTCAGCAAAATGTGGATCTCTCCCGTTTTTTTTAAGCAACCATTCCCAGAACGCAACCCTTTTTGAAAAATGATTAAGCTTTAAATGTTGTACGCGTTGCACATGATATGGGTGTATGCCCTGTTGATTGAAACTCCTCCAAACTATAAATATTAAAACCCCTAGTCTCTAGTCAGTGCGCCAACTTCGCACGCTTATGCCCTGATGTCGGCCATTTTGGAATCAGTGTAACCTTACATTTTTTAGGGATTTTTTTTTTAAATCACTTTGGCGAAAAAACGTAAAAAAATATTTACGTGAAACTTTCTGTCGCTGAGCTACGATTACTATTTAAAAAATAAGTTACGGCATTTAAATAACATAACTTTTTAAACGAAAAGATAAATGGGAGATTTTCTTATAACATCAGCATGTATTTTACTATATCTACTCGAATAAATTGATAAATATGTTACATTATTTTAAGTTTTTTAAAGTAACTATAAAAAGTGTTTTTGGAAAGGGCCGTCTATTAATTGAGACGCATTTGCTTTGACATCTCCACGTCAAGTCTTATACTATACCATAAACCTCTGGTGCACCTTTTTGTGTGTCTAATAATATCAATTCTCAATATGAGGTGCCACACTAGATAATATTTTAAACTGTTTCATGATATTTTGAGGATACGAATCAAGAATACCTAACCAAGTATTTACCTTTTTGAAAGGTAAAAAAAATGTAGATAACTTTTAAATTACAAACATGAAAAATATTGTCCATAGATTAATGACAAATTTAGTACATACATACAGGGTTAGTCACGAGAGAATTACTTCTGAAAATTATTTTTACGCAACCCAAAATACGAATACCGTGTGTCACTTGATACTAACTGAATTTAAAAGGAAATGCTTAATCCATGATTGCTTTGAGTTTGGCAATCTCATTTTGACAATTGTGGAAAAGGAGGTTACGCGAGTGTCCATGGTGGTACCGCAGCCAGTCGGAGATGTCCTCCGGCGCCGCTAATAAATGTGTCAGTGTGCCTCTTGATCTTTTGCAACCGATTAATCACGAGAAAATTATTTCTAAAAATTCCTTGTACATTTTATTCAAAGGTTACAACATAAACTCAAACAAGTAAGTAAATAATTTAACTACTAATCTGTTGAAAATATTGGGCATTTTGGGGGGATGCTACGGTTTTTTTGTAAATGGATGGCCGAAGAAGCCCAGAGGTTGCAGACTTGCACTTCGAAGAGGCTCTAGGTGACGCAGAGATGGCGAATTAACACATGCACATTAGCGGCGAACAACATTGGTAGAGCACTTACGGCTTCAATATAGCCCAGATTGATCTGACCGTATGTCGTCGATCCAATGGGGCTCTAGAGCCGAGTCCACGATGAAACAAAATGTTAAAAATTAATTAACGTCAAAGTGATACTGCCAAAGTCAAAGCAATCATGGATTAGGCATTTCATTTTAAATTTACAAAATATCAAGTAGTACAGGGTATTAGTATTTTGGGTTGCGTAAAAATAATTTTCAGAAGTAATTTTCTCGTGACTAACCCTGTATATTTTTTTATATCAATTTTTAATCAAATGTAAAATTAACTTAAAATGTTAATTTTAATTTCTATTATACATTCAGTATAGAAGGAATAGCGCTTTAAAATAAAGATTAATAACACCAATGACCATGTTTGCTGCAGGAGGTAAGATTATTTTTTAACATTATGCCTAGGTCAAACTAATTTGCCAAAGAGGTAATTCAATTCAGAAACCAGTTTTTTTTTTAATTAATTAATGTGAGAAAGGCGTGAATAATAAAAACTTCTTAAAGTAGCGCTGAGCAAGTTATTTTTCTCATCGATCATCGTAGGCAGCTAAAAATCAAGAACAAACTTTCTTTCTTTTGCAAAGAAATACTTTATTGTTCAATTAGCACAATTACTATATTCTGTTGTCCTTACAAATAGACAAATATATGTTTTTATACGTGGAATTATAATAAAATTGCCGGTATTTTGTACCGAGGGAACAATAAAAGACATGGATTTTTAAAAATTTGTCTTTGATAGAATTTTCGTCTGGTGGCATTACCGCCAATTTCAAAGTGAAAATACAATGAACAAATGCAAGCTTTCAAAAATCCATGGCTGTCCTTCATCGTGTTTTTATTACATCTTGCTCGGTATTGACTTAGCTCATTTCAATACATCAAGGGACTGTTACTGCAGGACATTAGGCGTGGTTTACGCACACGAACTTGACAAACTTGTTCCTATTATACGTCGTTGAATAAAATACAACAAAATTGTATTTTTCGTTTTAGCATTAAAAAAACGGTCTAGGGTTATTTCGACAGGACTTCCCTGAAGGACAATCCAATAAATCCTGCATGTTTGAAAGATTATAAAATTTGAATTTGCGATTTTTATTTTGGGATAACCTCTGTAAAGTAGCGTAAATATCATCCCCGCAACAAGTGCCGACAATATGAAATATATTTAAACCTGATAATCAACGGGATAACTGTATTCTTATCTTAGTATATACTTAACTTCAGCTGTTTATGTTTATTACATTTCCAAAGAATTCGACTATTAGCGCGTTCAGATAACAAGCATCAGCGGCGGCATTTGTGTTAAAAGAATATGAAAATTTGATTGGTTTTATCTCCCCAAAACAGGGGAGTGGATTAATTAATTAAGCTACAAGGGAGCAAAACGTTCCGAATATTGTTTTGGGTGAATAGTTGTTGCGAGTATTATGGGAATTTGGTTTTGCAATTTCGAAGCAAAACTGTAAAATGTTGTTATAAAGTTTTGATTTTTTTTATCAAAAATCAAGATTCCTAAGCTAAAAACTCAATACGGGTTCATGAATCACACATGTAGGAAAATGTTATTTTATAAAACTTATGAGGAATATTTATCGGACAAAATTGTAAGATGACATCATCACTTTTTGCGGAGACCGTAAAGGAATAAATTTTTTGTAGCGATTTCTCATGCTCACGATAGCCTTAAAACGTTTGCAAGATTTCAGTGCATTGGGATTTGCAGTTTCAAATTTAAATTGTGTGATGTTACATAATTTTGATTTTTTTTTTTCAAAAATTTGGATGTCTATGGTAGAAACACAACGCCGATGCATAAACCACAACTGCAAGAAAACTTTATTTTATAAAATTTAAATGATATTTACTATTCTAAATTTTAGAGATGACATTACATTATTGATGGGGATGATTATACAAATTTTGGTTAGGGATTTACCATACACGATACTCCTAACGTATGTACCTACATATATGTGTAATTTGACAACGATCGGTTCGGTAGTTTCGGCGATTATCTCTTTAATAAAAATCCACATAATAGTCAGACAAATAGACGACAGGCAGACAGAAACGCGAGAGCTACTCTCGGGGTCATAAAGCTTTGAGAAAATATGAAAGTGGCCATTCGTCGGATGAAGCCTGTTACAATATTTCTTGTGTTTACGCTGTGGAAGTAAAAAAAATGTGAATATTTGTTTCATAAATTTTCGAGACGTCCACTTGATCATGACAATTACTATTTTTACTATTTTACCCATAGCAATTAGTTTCACACTTCAACTTGCCACTTTTCTTCTGTAAATAATGTGGAAGTTGCATAAATTTTTGTTTTTTTGTTTATACCTATAAACTAGAGCTTCACGAATTATAACACGTAACCACAACATCCAGCATTCTACAAGATAAATTCAGTGTGGCAAGTAAGGTCTAAACTGAGACAACAAATAAATCATTAACTGAGTTTAACTGGCAATCGTAACTTTGATTGTCATTTTGAAATTTAAAATTGGATTGATGAATCCGACGAATCTCAGGATCACTATAATTAATGGAAAGTCTAATCGAAGTTCCAGCGGGTAAATTTAAACTGCAATTTTCCATTTTAAATTTTGTATATTAAAGCAAAATCACCAAATTCAAGTAAAGAATTAATTATAAATGTGATTAGTAACAATAAGTTTCACTAAAAGTTTAGCTCATCTGATTGATATTCAGGGAAGCAGAAAAAAAAATCATTGTACCACTCAAGCTGCGGATCACTGTACCCATTATCAAGCGCAGCCACTTAGCAACTTGATCTTCCTGAAAGTAATGAATTTTACACTTTAACATTTTTACGTCTAGAAAGTGCTAGAGAACATTGTTTGTTGCCTAATAAATTAAATACACTGTAAAATCCAGCATTATCACAAAGAATAAAAATTGTCGAGAAATATTAATAATAATTAGTAAATAAATATTACTCCACTAGTACATGATATATCATATATCCAATCATCCTTGCAGCGTTTTTGCAAGTGCTTAATGAGGGCTTCAATTTCGTTTTAACTTTTTCCTCTCGATTTTATCTGACAACAAAACGTATTACACCTCTAAATTTGCTGCCATCTCCATTACTAAAGTAAACCTGCCGTAAAAAAGCTATTTTCATTGTAATGTTCGATAAAAATGCGCTCAAAAAAATGGAATGCCTATTTTTCAGCTACCAATTCAGCTCGCTAAATTTAAGTTTTACGAGTTATTTATTATAAACGCATATATGGCTACAATGATGTGTTATGTGTCTGATGAGAGTGATGAGTGATGAGGTACGGATTTCATCATATAATACAAAAGTGTACGGTCAGCTAAATCAAGGAGCACTTACCACTGCTTCTCTTTCAGCGTTGATCATAAGTGATGTCAAAACCATATCTGTTTTTCGGTTAACGAGCTCCGCTATTAGCCCATTCCATTTTCCGGTATCATTGGTCCCCCACCTTCCATCTTCAACACGAACAAGTTCATACGTAAAACCCAGTTCTTCGGAAAATTTTTGCAAAAGGTCGATGCAAAAGCCCGAACAACATTGATAGAAACTGCCATTTCGATGTGCTAAAGTCGTGTCGACTCTGATAAAAAAAGAAAAATATTACAATAACAAAAAAGAATAAAGATGCATGATATAACAGATCGTAACGCTAGAAATCTTTAGTGCAGTGCGATTAAATAATGAACGTTATTTGTGTGCCAAAAAGTACTTATATTATACAGCTTTTTTTGTGGTTTTGTGGAAGATTAATACTTATTAACCTTATTAAAAAAATGTTTTCATACATCCTGAGAACACTAATTTATTTAACAAGCTACAAATATTTATAGCAGCTTAATCAGGTTATTATTTCAGTAAAGGGAATAAGAAAATATTTCGAGCCAGTGGAAATATTTTATACGAACTAATAGTTTGGAATGTATTTTGGATTCGCTTTTAACATGCCGTTTAATAAAAAATTTAATGGAGCTGCAATTTATATTTACCACAGGGGTGTATCAATATCGAGATCATGACAGGTGACTGATGACAATTATAATTATAAAAAATCAGATGATGCGTAATTTCAACAGCAATACATGATAAAAGAATGCGCTGTGTTCAGAGTGCGCTGTGTGTCAGTGAGCTCCTCTCTCTTCACCTAAAAAGGTGGATTTACTGTACATTTATTATACTCTTGATAATCATATATTTAAGTATACCAGGCATAGATAGTTGGTGTTTTCAATTCATTAACGGCTTGAAAAGGTGCGACAAATCCCTTAGATTATTTTCCCACCCAGCGCGTTAAGCCGTGCCGCTTATCGGTGCGACGGTTTTTTTTCTCTCTCTCTGACAACTGATAGTGATAATTGCCGCTTCTTGCAATTTCCGATTTTAAATATTAAAATTAACCTGCTTAATTTACGACTGCAATTTTGAGCGTTAAGCTATCTTTTGAAGGGATACCTGTCGACTAGTTTAATAAATAGGTATTGAGTAGCTGACGGCTACGACTGTAAATTTTTTAGCACTTTAATTTTTGATACCTATTGCAATACAGTTCCATTTTTTTTTTGTAAGCATTTCATGATCATGAATCCGTGTGTTCATTGTGGTGAAGCCAAAACGGGCCTCTCTACTACAAAATGTGATGGTTGTGGTAGTGTGATCCACCTTGCTTGCGTTGGGCTATCTGAATCCGACACAGTCAAGACTCGCGTGAAGTCCCGCTCTATTAAAATGGTATGCCCAAAATGTAATATTAACCTGACGCAGTGCGCTGGATTGAAGGATTTAATGCAAACCATGATTGATACATTGAAAACAGAATTTTTAAATGCTATCGAACTAAAGTTAAATGAATCACTGTCGAACAAGTCTAATATTTCTGATGACCGGGATAGTGAAACCATTATTGATGAACTAGCCGATCGTCAATCAAGAGCTGGTAACATTATAATTTACAATCTACCAGAATCTGGAAATGGTATATCTTCTCAAAACGATGATCTAGACGGCGTAAAAACCATTCTGAACGGGCTTGAGGTTGCGGACAAAGATAAAATTCATACTAACGTTGCCTCTTGGCCGCCGAGATGCGAATTCTAGACCGTTAAAGGTATTTCTTGGTAGCCGCAGTATTGCACTTTTTGTCTTCAAAAATAAAACTTTGATTTCAGAAAAAAACTCCGGTATAAAGATAACAAATGACGAAACACCCATGCAACGCGAGTATAAAGGTAAACTTCTCGCTTGAACTCACTTGAACAACGAAAAACGGCCGGTGAAGAAAACTTAACTATCCGCTATGTCAAAGGTAAACGGAAAATTGATTCTATAATAAATACCCCTAGTTATTCGGTACACAGGAGTGATCGCACTTACTGCGAAGGTGGTGGAGTTTTCATTTATGTCTTAAACACTTTCAATAAAATTCCAATAGATGTCGATCTTTTGGATGAATATTCTACAATTTACATAGACTCCTAATGGCTAAAAATTACATTTTCTAATATGACACTCCATCTGGCCTCCATATATCGTTCACCATCAAAATCATTTGATAATGATTTATCATTAATACAGGCTCTAACACTTGCAAGTGTAAACCTTAATAATTTAATAATTTGTGGAGATTTCAACTTTTTAACGCTCAATTGGCACATGCCCCTCCTAATGGATAGTAATACTCAGGCGGTAAATTTTATGAACTTTTACCTGAATTCTAATCTGCACCAACTAATAAGTACTTGAACCGACTCGATTCAGGAATAATGACAGACCTTCAACTCTTGTTTTAATATTTACGAATGATCGTCAGCTTGTTTCGACTACAGAATATTTTCCTCCAATAGGTATAAGCGATCATGTCGTTCTTCTTTCAAAGTTACAATTCCTCCTGGATAGCAGTCATGGGAGAACTATATGTAAAAAAATGTACCGTCGAGCTGATTTTGAAGCTATAAAAACCTACTTATCTGGGTCTGAATTGGATTCCATTAACTTCAATATGTCTCTTGAAATTATGTATAATACTCTCGAGCGATTGTTAAACGTTTCGGTTGAACGCTTTGTTCCAGTTCGTAATATCAGAATTAGGGACAAACCATGGATTTCTAAAGCCATTAAACATCTAATTCGAGAAACGAAAAAAAAGTGGCTTAAATATAGGCATTACTTCGCCTATATTTAAGCCAACCGAACATTATTCGTAATATCGTGCGGTTTGTAATAATTTTAAGACAGCAATTCGATCTACAAAATCTAGCTACGAGATGAATCTTGCAACTAAAAGCAGCAAGGAATTCTTCAAATATATTAACAGAACTCTAACAAGTAAAGTACGTACACCTCGTTTAAGATCAGCTGATGCTGATGTGATTGACATTACCATCAGCCATAGCTGATTCATTTGTCATCGAATACGAACATAATTAGCAGTGTTGGGGACATATACTTTTAAAAGTATCTAGATACAGCTTGTTTTCGATTTTTTCGAAATGTATCTAGATACAGATACAAGAAAACATATACTTTTTGAAGCTTTGGCGAATAAAATAACTGAAAACATGTTTATGTATTTTTTTATGTATTGTTTAATGAAATTTTTAAAATTAACAACATTTCGAACGTATTGTCACCTAAATTATTTCTTCTTGGTGTCAGAATTTGGTTTCCGCTACTAAACACCCATTCCACAGGTGCAGAAGAAGGGATTGTGGTATTAAATTTAAAAAATAAACATTTTACTGTAGCATAGTTATTCAAGACTGAAAAATCTTTTCTTTTTTCCTGCAAATAGGCCATCGCTTCGCTGTTTGATGTGTCGCAAATTGTGCAATATTTATTACGTACGCTTAAAAAGAACATTATTTTGTTTTTATTCCATACGACAGTGTCCAAATTGTGTTTGAGTATATCTAATAATCATCTCCAGCATTAAAATAAATAATATTTCAAAAGAATACGGGAAATCATTATTCTGTGCTGAAGGTCTGTTGTCGGCAACCTGTCATAAATTATTATTCTTCAATATCGGCTCACGATGTTTTTATGTCCGGTAATCGTCTATCCCGGTGCGGCATTTTAGGAAGAATTGGTGGTTCCGTTTAAGGCAAAATAAGTACAATTTCTTAGAAAGGTATTTAAACGTCTTATAGGATCAAAGGCTGCCTGGCAGGCCGGAATCACCAGAGTGCAACTTTAAATTTTCAGATTTTTGTTGAAACTCATCTTATTTTAATCTCGTTTCACGATTTCTGAGAATATATCACAATAAATTATTCTACCGAGGGTTGTAAAAATATTAATTTTATTGCCCAAGATTTACACATGCCTTAAACAAATATTTTTACTATTAAAATTACTCTTATTTAATAACACAAATACAACCAGCGGACCTACCGGACCCGGATTGCTCAGGTACACAGGTAACATGCATTGCCCCGATAAGCGTAAAACGCAGTGAATAGTGAATTGTGGTTTATGGTTTTTAAATACCACTTTACCATGGCTTAGATTTATTACTCCTCAGGATTATATTTAAAGATGTATGAGTACTTAAGGCTACAATGTAGAAAATGATGGTATTTAAAATATGAAAATTTCCGTGACAGAACACTATTAGGGGACCTCTTACCTCTATTTTTGTTTATGAGACGAAAATCACTAACATGAAGTATCTAGTATAACTCAACTAATAACTACTGAAAAAAAAGTGAAATAAAAAATGTATCTGTATCTGCGCCATTAATTTTGTATCTAGATACAGATATTTTGTGCTTAAATTCGATTTTATCTAGATACAGATACTAGATACCCAAAAATGTATCTAGATACTTTATTTAGATACAAGTATCTAGATACTGCCCAACACTGATAATTAGGTATGTGTCTGAATCTCCTGGTGCTTTGCCTTCTCTATGTCCAAATACCCGGTCAATCAACAATATTCATACCGTTATCTTTACGGAACCAGAAGTATTGAGAGTACTCCAGTCCTTTAAATTAGACTCCTGTCCTGGACCAGACGGTTTTCATCCTATTTTACTGAATAAATGTGCTTCAGTTCTATCTCAGCCAGTCGCTGCAGTAATGCAACAATCACTTTCTGCAGGTTCTGTACCAAATGGTTAGAGGTCTACTACAGTTATTCCAGTGTATAAAAAAGGTGATAAGCTTAATCCAGCAAACTTTCGACTTATTAGTTTAACATCGTTGCTTTGCAGATCTATGAAAAAAAAAATTGCCCAACACCTAACTGAGTTTTGTATAAACAATAATATCCTCAAGCCCAACCAGCATGGTTTCCTTCCCGGTAGATCCACAATATCTAACCTTCTGCCTATCTGCCTTAACAAGTAGACCAAAGCTGTAGACAATAATCAGCCAATAGACATTGTTTATCTCGACTTTAAAAAAGCATTCGACCGTGTTCCTATTCGCAGATTACTACTAAAACTGGAACATTATGGTGTGCGCGGTGACTTATTACTGAGGTGGATAGCGGAATTTCTTCAAAATCGTACCTTTACAGTTAAGATCCTCATTGAACATTCACAAGTCACACCGGTTCTTAGACCCATCTTATTCAACATCTATGTTAGTGACCTTGCCTCCTTGTTTAATTGTTCATCCGCGCTGTTTGCTGACGATACAAAGATATTTTCAAATCCTCTCGAGAATCCCGATGCTCTTTCTAATGATCTCAAACTTGTGGAAGATTGGTGTGACAAGTGGTTACTATCCACAAATGAAGCTAAATGCACTGTATTACATCTTGGGTTCAACAATCCACATAAATCATATTATCTTAACGGAATTGAATTGCAATCTGTAAATCAACAAATAGATCTAGGTGTTATTATATCAAGTGACCTCAAGTGGGCATCCCACATTGGTGCTGTGGTAAAAAAGGTTAACTCGCTGCGATACTTAGTTGCTATCAGTTTTAAAAATATTTATATCTATGTTTTGCTAGAACGCATCTATAAATCGTACCAATTTTCGATTATGCCGCCCCAGTGTAGAATCCTTATTTTGCTGGTGATATCCATGTCCTTGAACAGGCACAACGCAGTTTCACTAACCTGTCACCTGGTTTAAAACATCTCCCCTATGAACAACGACTCACTGCCCTTCACTTGTCTTCTTTGACTGCTCGACGAACTCATGGCGATCTAATTGAGACATACAAAATATTGCATCGAGACTATACGTGTCATTTACCATTGTTTGTACTCAGCACTAATCTACGCCTACGAGAACACAATCTGAAGCTAGTACGTGAACGATTCTACAAATTGTGTAGGCAATACTTCCTCACAAACAGAACACCAAATTTGTGGAACACTGCCGGATGATGTTATCGCAGCCTCGTCATTCAATACCTTCAAGAACCGACTTGACGCCCACTTTTCTAGTTCTTTTTAGTGAATTCTATTGCCAATTTTGATAATTATTGTATTCATATTTACTTACATTATTTTGTATTATTAGGTACATACTCCGACATTGGGATGAAGTGCATCGGCATTTTGCCGCCTTACTTCAATTTAATAATAATAATAATAAAAAAAAGTTATAGTTAAGAGGAAGGCCCTCCTGTATCTAACACCGATATAAGCATAAAGCATGTAACAGATGATTTTCATTTAGTATTATTCTTACTGTACTGTGAGTTTGTTTACCTGGAGAAGTCGATGGATTAGCTTTGGTTGTAGACGTTAACAGGTCACAAGTGGTTTGCTAGCGGGAAGCACAATTCACTTAACAGATTAAGTTCACTGTTTTTATTTTTTCATTTAACACTAAGTCAAATCTCTGCCCGATTGCGCGATAATTGAGCCGTCGAAGTTTTAGTATATTTAATTAGAAATTTGTTTTGCGTTGACTCTTTAAAAATGTGATGATGTTTTTGAAACCGAAAATTATTCATTAAATTTACATTTTAAATAGAAAAATAATGGCACATAAAATTTTACTCTTCTGAAGTTTTGTAGTAACGTGGTTATTGGTTAATGTACAGTTACTATCACATAAATCCCGTACAATCTCACTTTTAGAGATGGATCATTTTAAGGTTAACATGGTGAGTCATCAGAATCTGTCAACGGACTGTCAGTCAGTAGCGTAACATGCACACTTCAGAAGGGGGTGGTTTTCAATTTTTTTTTTAATCGCAAACAATAACACAGGGAAACATAAACTTAAGTGAACTGGTCAACTCGCTAGCACGAACGCGAATGAATCTATTAGGCACTAATCTAAACAGGTACCCTTATGCTAGAAAAGTCCACTATGAAAGAAAAACGGTGACAGACGCCTCTAAAGGTGGGCCCACCCCTTAAATTTGAAAGTGGTCTTGGCCCGACCGATTTTGTGCTTCTACGCCGTTCTATAGCTGTGCCGATTTTAGAGTGCTCGATGTCTACGGTGTGTCAAAATCAACACAAAATCAATAGCATATCGATACCAATTCAGACTGTCATCTGTACGGGATCTGAGCATGACTGTATATAAAACTTACCATATGTATGCTTTGGCGTTAGAAAAGTATGAAACTTAAATATATGGGGCAATTCTGAATCAAACCTGTTAAATTTAAAGGGTGTTAAATTGCAAATTTTCATAGAATTGGCCCTACTATAGTGTTATAATTTAATAATTATTTAATAACTTAGGATAACTTGGTTCGCAAATTGTTTAATTTTTTTTTAAGTAATTTATATTCGATTATTTTTAAATTTACTTTAAATACGCTTGTTTTTTATAGAAACCAAAAATTATGATCTTGAAAAACATGTGGCAAACAAAAATTTAGCAACAAAAAACTGACTCGTTAAATATTAACAAAATTTTTTTTTTACAAGAAATTTTATTGGACCGCATTACGACTTTAAGTTGTCTACTTAAATAAGTTATCTCAGAATGTATAAAAACATCGATGAGTAATTATGGGACACAGTGTACAACAAAACAGTCAAAATGTGCAGATTCTTACTCGGTGATATCGGCATCACTAGCAATTCTACATAAAACTCCCCTCTCCATTGTACATTTTCCGGTCACGGGATCAGGAGGAGCTAGACTAATATATGGTGGTTCTTCTAAAAAAGTTATCTTTAAATGAAACTTTTCCGGTACTCCTTGTGGTGGGGTGTGACTGTTTCCTGGCCATACGATATCTTTAATATCCAAGCCTTCTTTCTGCCAAGACTTCCATACTCCAATCTGCAAATGAGTTATTAACAATCAGTAAAGTAATTAGAGCTTCATAATCAAAAAAGTTACTTTAGAGTATATAAAATATGATTCATAACGATTTTTGTAGTAAGTAAAGAAAGTCAGAACTAAAATATTGTGGCAGTAAGGTTAGCTTTGCGACAATGATTATTATTATTCTTATTTGATCATAATTAAATAAAGACGGGAGTATTCTCATATTTTCTAGAAAATGAGGCCCTTATTGATCAATAAAAAATTAGGAGTATTAAATTTAATGTTATGATTTTCGTTTTGAGATAGCCGCTGTAAAGTAAAAACCAGCGGCATAAATAATAACACTCTCGCAGCCCCTGCACCATACGGAAAATGTAAAGTATATTTAAAGCACATAACTAACGGGATAATAGTCCTGTAAACAGAAGACTAAAATTATATATTAATTAAACCACAATAGAAAAATGTTCTGAATATTATATTTTATCATTATTATATTGAGACGGGCGTATTCTTCACATTTTCGAGAAAATGGGGTGACTCGTTCTTATTTGAAAAATCAAAAATTTGTGATGACGTCATCAATATGGATAACACTAGTCACAGCGTATTAAGTACCAATGCAAGAAAAAAAGAGTAAAGAGCCAAGTTCAGCGTTAAACCCACAACCCCAGGTCGCCGTTCTCCTCGATAAAGCCACTGCGCCACGGAGACTTACATCCCGTGTTGGTAACATAACGTCATTATACTTTGTAAATGTTTTCGCAAAAATTTTAACGTTTACCGAAAAATTTGAAAGCGGATTCGTACACTACAAGTATAGGTGTATATTTTTGTGTAAGATTCAAATCATTTTAAAATAGAATTCATTGAAATGACGTCATCAAATTGTTGGTGGGGATAATTTGCCAAATTATAGTTAGCAGTTAAACATCTACATGACATTTCTTATACATCCAAATTTGACAACAATGGGTCCAGCAGTTTTGGAGATTACGTGTCTAATAAAAATGGATACAGACACCAGACAGACAGACAAACAGAAGACAGACAGATGGAAACGGAAGACTATTTTTTTCGTACTGTAAGGGTCATGAAACATCTATAAAAATAAAAGTGGACATTCATCCGATGGACTCGATTACCATACTTCCTTACATTACACTCGGGAAGTAAAAATATAACATAAGAACAAAAAGAATAAATATTGTTACGCTTTTCGAGTATTTAAAATCGGTGTGGGGAAAACTCAACAACTTGTTTCTCGGTAGTACAAATTTATAAGACTAACTACACAGCGAAAATATAACACAGAATAATTCTGACGTAACGGGTACTTATTAGTCATTATTAATCGCCTCGGCTGGATTAAACTAGACTAGACTCTTCCCGACAGTATTTAAACAGCCATACGCTCGTTCTGGAAATATCGCGAACGTCGCTTTCGAGGTTGTTCTGGAGTCTACTATCGAAATAATTCCCGCGACTTCCGGCGAGCCGCTTTCAGGCTTTTCTTTATTTGAGCGCTGCCACCACCGATGATGAGTTACGACGCCGTACATTCTAGAAAACCCATAGGCGTCGTACCAGGGCGGCGTATGGGTTACTTCGTGACACTGTCCCTCTTTAATTCTAATCGTGCCGATCAGATATCAAATGCCCTGCTTGGAATCCTGCTAAGTTACCCTTAAGGTAGTAGAGTGTTTTCATTCTGTCGCTTCCCACCCAGATCTCAGCATTTTCTCCTTCAAGTCATAGACGTAATCTATGACCTCCTTTGGTTTTTCACTCGAAGAGCCGAATAGGATGTCATAAGGTACGTGGACGAAGTTCTTTTCCGAAAACTACACGTAACTGTAGTCTGACCCGTCGTGTCATGGGTAACTGATTGTGAAGCCAGTAGGAACAGTGGAAGGTGTACATCCCAGTCTTTCTGAGCTTCAGCCACCACGTTCGAAAGATGTTCTTTCATGGTACGATTGAATCGTTCTACCATTCCACCTGACTGTGGGTGCAACGACGTCTAGTACTTCAGTAACCTTTTGGAATAGGTTTGACTCGAAGTTTCTATCTTGATTCGAATGCATTTTCATTGGGACTCCAAACCTGCTGATCAGCATTTTTGCAACCGTCGTGGCTTCTTGGTTCGATAACTTCGATATGGCATACGCTTCGGGCCATTCGTTGAAGTAATCGCTGACACAATTACGTACTAATTCCCATCCTCGGTTACCGAGAAAGGACCTCCTACGTCCACTGCAATTCTTTCGAAAGGCGAACCCACGTTGTATTTTGGCATCGGCCCTCTCGCTCTAGTCCTTGATCGCCGCACAGGTCGTACATTTCTTGCACCAGCTCTTGACGTCTTCTCGACAACGAACCCAGTAAAATCTCTCCCTAACTTTAGCAAGCGTCTTGTTGATTCCTAAATGAGCACCAGAACCCCCGTGTATCTCTCGAAGCACTTCCTTGATTCTGATGGCCGGAACCATCAACTATATGGTGGTACGTTTCCGATCCGAGCCCATAACGCCTTGACAGAGGGGGACTCGTCTGATATTTTCGACCAGCCCGGCCGTTCTACCCCCTCTTCTTTCCAGTTGAGCAACGGCCCGATATCCACGTCCTGCTCATGGTTTTTCTAAGCTGGACTGTAGTCCATTCTTCATCCCCTGCAACTGCTGTTATTAGCGTCTGTGTCTAAGATGAACATTCCCGATGATTGAGGATAGGACAGAATAGGGCTCGATCATAGTGCATTCTTCAATCTTTTGAAGACTGCCTCAGATTCAGCAGGCCAATTAAACTGGGATCCGTTAGCCTGTGCAGAAGACCAGCAATATCAGCAAATCCGTTGACAAACCTTCTGTAATATGTGCATAATCGCTAGAAACTTGGAAATTAGTATTTATCTCTTGGTCTTGGCTAATCGTGAATCGCATTGATATTTGTGCCTGTAGTCTGTTTTGGGGCATTAATCCCATTTCCCAAAACAGTATTAATGCCCCAGGAATTCTACTTCTTTTTTGAAGAGGAGGCATTTGTTTGGATTCAACTTCAAGTTTGCTTCCTTCATTCGGCTGAATACTTCTTCTAGGTTGGTCAAGTGCTCCTCAAATGTCTGTCTTCTCCATTACCATGATATCATCTAAATAAACCAAACATGTTTTCCATGTTAACTCTCGTAATAGCATCACCATTAGCCTCTGAAAAGTAGTATTACACAGTCTAAAAGGCGGTAAATTGATACAAGTGGCTCCCCATAGAAAAATCGGTCTTTTCCGTATCTTCTGGATGAATACCAAGTTGCCAGTTGCCGCTTTAATATTTTATCTCATTAAATAAATATGTATGTCTCCTTGTTATTATAAAGAAAAGTGTTGCTATGAAGAAATAGTATATTATGTAACCGCGGAATGTAAGTGTTATCTTTGTGGTCGATAAATGAAATTTGGGAAATCGAGGGCCGCAGGGCCTGAGATTTTCTAAACATTTCAAGACCACAAAAGACATTAACATTCCACTGTGCATACGGTATTTTTGGCCATACCTAAAGCAGCTAATTAAAAAAAAATATTTGACAAATTCTTCAAGAATAATTGCGCGAATCGATCGTCGAGTAATGAAAGTTTTTTTTTGTTACTATGGACACTTAAAACATTGAATATTAAAATCAACAGAAATTTGAAAATTTCTAAACTCATATTGTGTGCCGTACTTTTTGAAGTACCATCGTCGGCAATGAATGTGGAAGTAGCCGCGAATCTTGCTTGTGCTTCGGTTATTCCGGAGAAATCAAACAAAAGGTATGAAACAGCTTACAGACATTCAAGGAATTGTGTAATTCGAATGAATTAAGATTTAACAAAGAAATTCAATCAAAATGGAAAATGTGTAAACCAACTTGTTGGTAGGAACATTTTTGCAAGAATTCCTTCGGGGATAGCAAAATTTTTTAAAATGGAAAATGCAGATAAATGTACAAGACACTCATTTCGTAGAACCTCAGCTACTCTTCTGGCTAAGACTGGAGTGAACGTTCTTGAGTTAAAAAGACACAGAGGGTGGCAGTCCTCATCAACTGCCGAATCATATATGTATAGCAGAATCCTTGGCGAATAAGATGGACACAGCCAATGAAATTTTATACCACAAAACTCAAGACATCAGTTTAGTTCATACAGCAGAAAATTTTCCCAACGACGTCGTGGAAAAAGAAGCACTAGAATTGGAAATAACAGGCATCAAAGATCTGAATGATAAAAACCTTTCTTCGGTTTTAAATGTTAATAACATGTCGAATTGTACGTTTCATATTTCCATAAATAAAATGCTGTAAAATTTTAAAATTTTAATTTTTAGGTCTTCATACCTTATTCACTTACAGTCCATTACTTACAAGCTTGTGGGCATATCAGTAGTATTACAGCTCTAATGTAACCATAGAAACGGCACATTATTTATAACCCAACTTAAGGGCCAATTCTGAATTAAACATGTTAAAATTTAAAGGTTGTTAAAAATAAACAGCCAATTAGATTTACGAATTTTATTCGTTACCATGGAAATTTGGAATTTAACACCCTTTAAATTTAACAGGTTTGATTCAGAATTGCCCCCTTACTGCTTTTAAATTTCGTTTTAAAAAGGCAACTTACACGACAGGTATAGCGAAAAATTGATTTCTTTATAATTTGCCGTAAATAATTTTAGCCCATTTCCAGTAAATATCCGAAAAAATATTTATTTGAAGATCGGAAAAGTATTTGAGATACATTGAAAGAATTTTAATAAATCGGGAATTACTTGTGGTAGATGGTGTAGAAGTTGTAAAATATGGGAAATAGATTTGATAGCTAGTGAAATACAATTGACAAACGATGAAAACCAAGAGACAAACACTGTAATAAAATTAATAATAATAATAATATTAACAAAAACATTAACAGTTATAAGTTATAATTAAAAGATCTTTTGATTGTAAAGGAGATTGTAAAGATCGTCTGTGAACAAGTTAGAAAACAAAACATAACTACTGTTTTATCGATTATAAAGAAGATTCAGTTTTGCATCTACAGTATACAAAATCGATACCAAACTCTGCTCTTTTCTCAAATGTTCAATGAAGTTTCGGACGACAAAAAATAATTTTAATGATCAAAAAATTAAATCAGATACGATAATCATCAGAAGACGCATCTTTCAACAAGATTTCCTCAGCGCACTATATTTAGTTTTGCTTGGCAATAAATTCATCGACGATGTTCGACATCCTCAATAGCTGCAACAATGTTTCAACAAAAGAATTACAACAAGCCAAAAAATAGACTAAGTCACTTGCTAGCTAGATATGATAAAAATTAGTCGGAAGTTATTTCGACAGAATTTCTCTCGCCCTTGAAGTATAGTTGGACAAATCCCGCTTCTTTAAAAAATAAAAAAAATTGATTTTGCGATTTTCGTTTTGTGATAAGCTCGATAAAGTAAAAACTAGTGGAGTAAATAACACCCCCTCTGTACCTGTGCCGCGGGGGCGCAAATTCCAATGGGGCGCGGTTCCCACAAGTGTGGACAATAGGAAATATATTTAAAGCAGATAACCAACGAGAAAGAATGTAGGTATTCTTAGTTTCTCAGTACATGCTTAACTTCGACTGCTTATGTTTATACTTCGAAAGAATTCGACAATTCGACTGAGGTACCTGCTATACCAAATATGGGCACTGTACCCAATATGGATGGACACACAAGTTAAGAACCACGCTATATTATTTTCGTGTATTTTATTTTGTCTACAATTTCCTTTAGTTTTTTAGATTAGTTTAAAGCAGACGACTATAATCAAAATTTAAAGTTATTACAGCACACAGAATGTTGTTCTAAAATAAAAGATTGACGCTTGTTTCTTAACAAATTTGACATTATTAATGTTGTAATATAGATGAAACTATTGCTACTTGATTCTTGCATTTTTGATACATATATTATACATACATACAGGGTGATTCAGCTTAAATGAGTCACTTACCTCTTTCTTATAGGCACCTCAATATACATTATTCGCTTATTTCTTCATTTAAAATTTAATTTTCAAAATGCCAAGAATCCAAATTTATTTTCTTTTTTGAAACGTCAGTCACTGTCACATAAACACAAGAATTTTTAAATCAAGGTACTTAAATCAATGGTTATTATTTTTCAGTTAAACACAAGATGTTCTGGACAACATTACTAATGTGACAACCCTCTCTCTGATCACAAGCTTCAATTCTGTTCATAAAAAAACATCTCACGCGTTCTAACATTTCACGCCCAATGGAGTAACATACTTGTCCAATTCGTTCTTGGGTGAGGTTGAGGATACACGTAAAAACATTTACGTATGCCCATAGAAAATGTTCCAGTTTTGCTAGATCGGGTCTACGCAGTTTGTATACTTCTACGTTTACTTACGGACCAATTTGCTCTCAGACACCTTTGAAGTCGTTTAAAAATTTTGTGAATATGATGTCTTCTATTCCTGGATACTGCTGTGCTTATAAGTTTGCCGCTAATCTACCGTTTTTACCAAACACTTCGTAGGTTTATAAAGGATGAATACCTCAGCATTTTTTAAAACTCGAAAAAAATGCTGCTAATTAAACTGACAGTGATACCACATTACATACTTAGATCAATGCTATTATTGAACCGAGCAGTAAGCGTATGATGTACTTATGTTGAGTTGCCTAGGTATTAGAAAAAGACAAGTGAGTCATTTAAGCTGAATAAGCTTGTATATGTTTTCTTAATGGTCTTTTTAAGAGAATGAAGTTACTGAATAATAACAAAAAAAAACTTTATCTTGAGTCAAGGTCTGAAAAAAGTGTTGTTGTGGAGTGTCATTTAGCCAGAACTTGAGCACTAATTTCCTTAAGTGTTTTTTCGCAGTAGAAGACATTAGAACATTGTAAACGAAATTTTGCAATAAATCTTTTCACACACCTACCGGTCTATCCCTACAAGAAGAAGAATAACTGGTACATCTTTTTTAAGCAGCTCAGAAAAATCTAATTTTGTTATTAAGTTTTTAAAAAAATTTTGGACAAAGCTGTTGTAATAATTTTTTTTTTTTAGACGACTGTTTACGAAACAGACACTTTCAACACTACAATTTATGTATGAAAGTTCCGAATATCATGTTGTAAGCATATCGCTTGCCCAGCGTTTTTACTTGGTTTCTCGGAGTTTGTGAGCGACTCTCACAATACGAACGCCTTTCGTAGTGCGACAATGATCTCCGATAAGTCTGTTTTACGTATCTTTTTTTGGTAATAACTCAATTAATTGCAATAATAAACCTCTGAAATTTGAAATGACAACTTAAAGACCAAAGATGGTATAAAATCAAAACCAGAACTCTCGTGAGAGTTGCTCTCCAGTGGACACGTACCCTAAAGATGAATCTTCTAGGAAATATTTCAAACAATTTTCAGGAGAAGACAGATGTATAATGGTAATAGTCATCGTTTTTTGTTATTTCGAGTAATGGAAAACTTATGTTTTGTAGCGCTTAAGATTAGAATGATTTTGAAATTTCAAATTTCGCGCGGATGATACACTTTTCTTCGCGTAGATTTAGTGACTTTTCTGTCACTCAATCTCTCACCGTCCGTAATATAGTTACTTTTTATCATGTTAGTTATTTTTTATCGTATTAGTAACTTTTTATCGTCTTAGATACGCCTTAGCAACGCCTGTGCTTGCACGTTTATTTCAAAAAATTAAGTAACTAGCCAGACAAATTTAACATTTCTTTGAGAGTTTTTTATGCCACAATGCAAATGAGTGATAGTGACGAAGAAATCCCTTGTACGCCGCCTGCAGTATTGGAGGCGGCAAAAGAAGCTACCTTTTTGTTTTGAAGGTTGCAGAGGTGCGATTTTGTTTCTCGACCGAAAAAAACCCGTCAGCGATAAAATCTCGTTTGCTGATTGGTTGAGATGCTACATTTCTGTCACATTTCTCGATTCTGTCACAAAATCAAGTCTTCGTGCAGCGATCTTTTATCGATAGCTCTGAGTAAAGTGATAAATTTTGGAGACATAACCTCGAAATTTATGTCAAAATAGAAGTTCAAAATCGTAATTCTGAGTTATAAGTTCTTAAAATTAAGGTAATTGTAAACTTTTGAGCATTTAATAAGCTTATATGCAAAGAATAAATGCAAACTTTTGCATTTAAAACCTACGTAATGACATTTATTTTATCGCTTCGGTCGAGAAACAAAATCGCACCCCAGATACGGTAATTTGAATTTGTTAATAATTTCAATTTTCATTCTTTCGTTTAAATTTTTTACTGTGCTGCAGTCGTCTAAAAAATAGAATTCGTAACGCGTTCGAAATTAACAAATATGTGCGCTCGTGTTTAATAGATCTATTCGTGCTCCGCTCTGCTCCGCACTCGTAGGTATATCTATTATAAACACTCGCTTGATATTTGTCACTTTCGACACTTGTTACGAAATATACTATTTTCGGATACTGTTACTTTTTCTCACTTTTTACCATTGCGAATTTGGTTTTTCTGTCGTAGGAGCTATAAATCTATGTCCTAGAAATGTTTTATTTTAATGATTTTGTTTTGATCATATTTTAAATTAGTAAAAAATGTATCCGATACCTCACGATCGGATTTACTGAAAATAGTACAGTAAAACTCTGTACATTTTACTAACAAACAAAACATAATAATTATTAAATTGTAACACATTCATTTTCTGAATTTTCAAATCAGAAAATTAGTGGTCGAAATTACTTTTTTTAGGATGCCTATATAAGTACATGTACGAAATGTAAATGGCTTATTAAAATATGTGTTGCATATTTTGAGACGCATTTAAAAACATTTGGACTTTGGAGATAAGATAAATTTTTGAAGAGGCTGACCAGTTAAATTTTCCTTGGTGTTTTCCATCTTCATTCAAAATTAAAGTGCACCTCAAATTTCAAAAAAATCATTAATCTTCAGTTGGGTAGTTTTGGAATTATTTGTATATAAATTTTCTACAGGATAACAGAACGAGATGACAGTAAAACCGTTGACCAACGTAAAGAAAAAATCGGCATTTTTACTTTTCAAGTACAAACTAGAGGATATTTCAATGGTGTTAGCTCTAGGTTGTGGAGTTAGTTATTAAAATATTAGTTAGACGTTTATTTTAACTACAAATCAAAGCTTATTTTTTCGAATTTTGTTTCACATTTACATATCGTGTTTTAAAAATATTTAAATCATTTTCGTGACGCGTTTTTTCTAAAGATCCTTCTTAGTATCCTAAAAAATAATATTAAAATAAACTTTTATAAAACTGGTAACGAAATCTTAAAATTCTAGAATAAAATATGCTGTAGTTGGACATATGCTGTTAATATAATCATCGCCGTTTTAAATTAGAAAATATGACAACAGTAAAAAACTATTCCAAATAACCGAATTAGTTGCATTTGCGGTAAGACATATAAAATTCAGGAACAGGAAGAGGAAACACTTGCGCAAATGTAGATTAATATCTTACCTCCTCCCACACCAGTTGCTTACTAACTCCTGGTCTCAGATTCATTATTTTCAGTTCAGCGGCACGAAGAACTCCGTCCTGTGTAAACTCCAAATTAGGTTTACCCGCATCACCTTCAACACTAACATTACGCAACACTCGAAAAAACCGATCTCCAGTGTTCCATCGAGCAGCACCGACACCTTCGCAGGAGAGTTGTGTATTTAGGGAACGTCCCGCATTCGCAGGATCATTCGTAAAATCTTCTACACCATAAGCATACACTTTGATTGCGGTTGTTATCTCGTTTACCAGACTGGAACTTGATGTATCGAAGTGCACTCCTAAAATGAATAAAAATTCAATTTTATTTTCAAGAAGTATATATTTTGCAATGATGGAACAACGTTTTTCCATTTATGAAAAGTAGAAGTTGTTTTTATAATTCTCTTGGGAAGATTAAGGTATGCAGAATATTTTATTCACAAAATAAACACATATGGCACACAATAAAGTAAAACAAAACATTGAAGCTCCATGCACAAAACTCGCAAAACTATAGTGTGACATTGGCACATTGGGTAGTATTAATAAAGTTAAGTAAATGCTTATACTGACAATTTTATAAGTAAATACTTACATCTGTATTAATAAAGTTTCAGTAAGAGCTGATGCTACAAAGTGGAATACTTATTTGCGACAAGCATGTGCTGATATTTATTATCAAAATAAGTAAATACTTACTTAAAATTAATTATATAAATAAAACCGAGCTAAAAATTCTTAATAGAATTCAGTATCTACTTATAAAGTTACAATTATGCCTTTTGATGTGCTTCTGACAAAAACAATAAAAAAAAGCATTGAAAAATATTTAATTGTGAAGTGCGTGCTCGAACTGCATTGTTTTGTAAGTGAGAAATGTGGAGTGAATGGCAAAACATTTTTTTGCAGTCAGTAAAGAAACAAAAGGTGGCAGTCTGGACTAATTTATGAACATGGGTATTTTTTTTGCGGCATGCTGCCCATTCAGTTTTTCAAAGTGAAGTCGCTGACATGATTTTTGGTATGAATTTCATACCTAAGTATAAAGTTATCAAAATGAGAATTTATAAGTGTCAGCATCGTATTATTTTGATGCTTATAAGTAAGGCTCGGATAGTTTGCAAAATGCATATTTTTGCATATTCTGCATATTTAACTATTTTTTGCATTTATTGCATATTTTAATGTTAAGTGCAGTTTTTTGGCATATTTTAAAATTTTTGCTGCATTTTTCGTAGTAATTAGTGAAAATCTTAATTTTAATACAATTTTAATACAGTTGGCTATTTGCAGTATGCAGGTAAATAAGTACCGATCTTTTCTAGTAATGCGGACGCGTTTTTCCAAGATTTCATTTATTATTAGGAGTTGCAAGAGATGGAAAACCTAGAATGGATTTGTAAGTATTTCATTCTTAGATTTTCAAATTCATTAATTATTATTCGTCTACGGATTTGGCTACAGAACAGTGATATTACAAATAATTAAAAAAAAAGTCTGCCAAACTATTATCGTGGATTCGGCCATACTCAGAGTTGGTTTTAGATGGTGATAGTGTTTTTTGCAAACCTTGCGGCAAAGCACAAAAGAAACTGTGAAAAAAGAAACTCAACCAGTGTGCTCAAACATCAATACGAGAAACTATATCTGTTAATACAGCCAAAAATGAAGAGGAAACATTGAAGTTCGATTTATGCCAGGCCAGGCTTGCCTCGAATATTCCATTAAACAAGTTAAGTAATCCTACATTTAATTCATTTTTGGAAAAATACTGTGAAAGGACCATTCCAGACGAAAGCACTGTCAGGAAAACAACTGTAGAGACCTGTTATACCGAAACTGTAGCAAAATTAAGACACGTTTCCAAAATAACTTTATTTACTTTGTTGTTGAAGAAATAACAGATGTATGCGGCAGATACAGGGTTAGTCGCGAGAGAATTACTTCTGAAAATTATTTTTACGCAACCCAAAATACTAATACCCTGTACCACTTGATATTATCTAAATTTAAAATGAAATGCCTAATCCATGATTGCTTTGACTTTAGCAGTGTCACTTTGACGTTAATTAATTTTTAACATTTTTTTTTCATCGTTGACTCGTCTCTAGAGCCCCATTGGATCGACGACATACAGTCAGATCAATCTGGGCTATACTGAAGCCGTAAGTGCTCTACCAATGTTGTTCGCCGCTAATGTGCATGTGTTAATTCGCCATCTCTGCGTCACCTAGAGCCTCTTCGAAGTGCAAATCTGCAACCTCTGGACTTCTTCGGCCATCCATTTACAAAAAAGGCGTAGCATTCCCCCAAAATGCCCAACATTTTCAACAGTTTAGTAGTTAAATTATTTACTTACTTGTTTGAGTTTGTGTTGTAACCTTTGAATAAAATGCCGTAAAAGGAATTTTTAGAAATAATTTTCTCGTGATTAATCGGTTGCAAAAGATCAAGAGGCACACTGACAAATGTATTAGCGGCCCCGGAGGAGATTTCCGACTGGCGCGGTACCATCATGGACACTCGCATAACCTCCTTTTCCACAATTGTCAAAATGAGATTGCCAAACTCAAAGCAATCATGGATTAAGCATTTCATTTGAAATTCAGTTAGTATCAAGTGGTACACGGTATTCGTATTTTGGGTTGCGTAAAAATAATTTTCAGAAGTAATTCTCTCGTGACTAACCCTGTATAGCAAATTGTATTAGTTGGTACTTTTCTGCAAACTTTGCGTCAGATTCTTATTTAATTGCTGTTAAAGAGTTAGAAAAGACGAATCCTCTAACTAGTTACAAGTAGATTTGTCCAAGAAAGTTTAACCAACACATTTTTACGCAGTGCCTATACCTTTTAATAAAATCGTATTAATGCTGCGTCATAATATGGTCAAAGCTGGAACCTCCTTAATAGTTATTTATGTACCAAGGGCACAAAGAAGATGTTTATATTCGAGGGCAACGTTTACAAAATCGAGGGCCTCTGGCCCGAGATTTTGTAAGTTGCCCGAGATTTATAAACATCAAGTTGTGCCCGTGGTGCATACAAACTTTTATTTTTCACGAGAAAATCTAAAAAAAACACCAAATTATATAATTAATTCGTAAAAAAAAAATTTACGTGGCGTTGATTTTGTTGTCAAGGAGATTCTATGTTTATTGCAAACACGGCGTCTATTCACGGTGTCAACACGTATATTTTCGACCGCGGAAATGAATGAGGAAAATTGTGAAATTCCAGAAAACATTGTGAAGAAAGCGCAAAAAGCCAATGAAAATGTGTTACCTGGAACATCAGGATCCATATATGATAAAGAATACAAAATTTTCCTTAATTGGAAGATTAAGAAGTGGCTTACTTCCAAGAATTGGTGAGTTATTCTGTTTATAAAATAATTATTTAACTGTGTTCTTCATTTTTAGTCAGAAAAATATTCACCCAGTTCCTTATGGTGAAAATACTCGATGGTCAAGACAACTTTAAGAGTGAACGACAACATAGACATTTCTAATTATCATCGTTTGACATATTTCTATAAAAAACCCAAAAGGTTATGTGGCAAAAAAATCCCGAGTTTTGAATGGCGAACAAGTCATGCAAGATGCTTCCGACAACAGATATTTACTTCAGAAGGTAAACTAAGTTATTTTTTGATGATTGTAATTAATTTAAATACGAATGTTTTATGCAGTAAAGGTAGTTGGAGGATGAGTGAACACAATTCTAGATTTTTATATAATACGTTATTCGGTGCTAGCAGAATGGAAGCAGAGGCAGAAATAATTCCAATAGAGGCACCTCCGAAAAGTTTAAGTTTACCTAAATAGTTTGGTATGAATAGCAAGTTTGTAAATTGTAATTTGTATCTTCGTTATTAAATAAATTGTTAAAAAATAAATAAGTAGTTAAAAATAAACAATAATTTTTTTAAATTTTTGTTTAATTAGGTTTAGCAAAATAGGGCATAATGAGAGGGCATAATAACTCTTTTTCTACTCCCACATAGTAATCCATGAATTACGAACTGTCTAGCCTCATAGTAAATCCATAGTTACACCAACTGGCATGTAATGAATGAACAGGCACGTAATATATATATATTACGTGCCTGTTTGGGTAGTTTCCATAGCAACTATAAATATTTGCTTTCCCAAAAAAAATTCTTCTGAAAGTGATTCTTCATTATAGATCGTAGAAAAAGTATATGACACAACTCTGGTGGTAAGCTAATTACGAACTCATATTACACCACTCGCTCGCTACGCTCGCTCGTGTGTAAACTTCGTTCGTAATTAGCTTCTTACCACCCTCGATATGTAATATACTATTATGCCCGCTCATTGTGCCCCGGATATAGGATGCCGCTTTACGTTTATCAAAGCATGGATATAAAACAAACATTATATACGAGTGAAAAATAAAATATTTTATCCAAATTTGGTTCGCTGCACTTCTCTCGCTCACATAAACAGAATAGCGGAAGAAGTACAAAATCAATTCCCATTGGTAAATGAATTAATTAATAATATGAAAAAAGTTTTTGTTATGGTTTTTTAAGAGTACAAGTATATAAAGATACGCTACCAGATGTACCATTGTCGTTTCAAAACCTGTCATTACACGATGGGGTGCATGGCTTGACGCAGGTTTATTTTATTTCAAATATTCCTGTGAAATGAAAGAAATCATGTTAAAATTTGATGATAGTTCATCTGCAGCAAAAGTTTTTAAATAGTCCTAAATTAAATCAGAACTTAACTCTCATAAATAACAACTACAAATTAATTGGTGTGACATTAACAAAATTAGAAAAACAAAAAGCACCTCTAAGTGAATCCGTACAGCTAATAGAAAATAAAAAAATATATATATCAATACAGCACAAGGTCCTATTGCTCAAACAGTCTTAAAAAAACTAGAGGAAGTCTTTAGTAAAAATGGGGTCTTACTAGACTAACTAATCTGGCAAAAATTTTAGATGGACAGTTTTCAGATGAAGTAAATATAGACCCTCAAATTGTGTTGTCCCTTAAATATGCCCCAATAACATCTGTCGATGTAGAGCGTACCTAGTTTTTCAGTGTATAAATATATTTTAAGTGAACGAAGACATTCGTAAATACACAAACCTCATTTGACATACACCTGTTAAAACTTTTATGACTTAAGCGGCTTAAGCCAAAGCACCCCTATAAGTCAAATTGGCTATTGTAAGCTTTGTGGATCCGAACCGCAAGATTATTACTGTGCATTGTTGGCATGATGTAGCTGTGAACTGAGTTAAGTAATACAATAGCCAG